TAAGAAAAAACCGCGCAGTGTTTCCTTTTTATCATTCAACCGGACGACCGACGACAGCGCATGATTGGTGGTGGTTTAAGCATGTGTTCAATTTGTTAGATCACAGATAAACATTTCGATATAATAATGCCAGTGATGGAATGCAACTGGCCGTGAATTTCTTAGAACCGAACAGCAGGACGTTGAATTTTGAATTCTCGCCGTCCTTTTTTTTTTGTTCCCCACCCCCATTCTATCCTGACATACAGATGTATTGAGTCTTGTTCTCTCTGGACGGCCACATTATATTATTATTCTCCCTTTTGCCGAGGCTTTATAGAAATATCTTTACCCTGTTAGAATAACACACTAAAAAAAAAAAATCAGGTATACCTACCTACATTCAACTACTCGAATTTTATAGAATAAAGGTTTATTAATGTTTCTCTTATACGCATACACAATATACGTGTGGACCGGTCAAATACTAAGGACAAAAATAAAATATTATATTTTATAGAGGGTTGATGGCGATGCGCAGACTGACACATAATACTGATATATTATTATTATTATTGTAACTTTCTTGGCTATAGCCAAGTTTCGTATGTGGCCGATGAAGCGCGAGAAACGCGAGAATGTGAAAATATATTTTATCACTCGCTCCCTGATGACGTAAGGAGTTAATAAAAACACCAGTTTTGACAGTGGACATAATTCTGACAGCAGAACAACGCTGCCGTCGTCTACATTGGCCGTTGTCCAGACCTTTACGAGATATATTTATGATTAGAATATATGTACCGCAATTATTATAGTACCGTTTATTAGGGTCGATGGAGCCAAATTTTATCGTCCCAAATAGGAAACTCAAAATAAACCAGATCACCTACGAACCTTTTCGTCGATTTCTTAAATAACTTCTTACTATTACAATAAATAGTGCCTTATTATATTAATTTATCACAAGCGATACTATTGCAATTCTAAGAAACCGTCATCCATTACTCTGACAGAATGTCGACTGATCTGGCACCGAGTTTGAATGACTGTGGTAGCAATGTGTATATAATATTATTATACGTACCAATTCTCAGATCGACATAAACAGGTGCTTCGTATAAACGTACCACAACCACGGTAGGTAAAATACTACAATCTTGGTATAGGTATAATATTATGTACTATATTTTAGTGGCTATACCTACAATAAACTACAAGCATTCAAATAATATAGCGGTTCGTCGGAAGACTTCCGAACTCGTAAAAAAACCTCCCCAAATCTCAACATCTAGAGAACCTAAACATATTTTGTGACTACGAACCTGTGGTTGCATGGTGTGCGTCACTTAGTAGCTATTTATACAGCGGCTGGAGTATACGATCGTGGATTGTGTACTGGTATATTATAAAGCGTCTGACGAAGAGTGACAGTTGCTGCGGGTGAGCTCCTCGAGCGGTGGCGATCTCGCGGACTTGAGTACGGATTGGACTCGACGACGACGGCGGCGGCGACGGCGGCGACCAGGACGAGAAAACGACGAGCACGACGCGCACATCGCACCACAAAACCGAATCGTCGACTGAGGCAGCGCGCGCGCGGTTACYACAGCCACGCCACGACGGACCACCCAAGTGTGCGACTACGATGCAGACCGGAGTGAGACGCACGCGGTGACGTCACGACGACGACGACGAGATGCGGTGAACGGTGTAGGTAAATATTATAATAACAATATTTATAACAATAATAATACCATAATATCCTGATCTCCTTCTCTCGTCCATATTACGTTAAGGCATCATCTTGCCATCGAGTTATCAGCTTGTTTGATTAGATATACGAGCAGCAGCGGCTAGAGTGGCTAGACTCAGCGGCGTCGCTCGCCCGATTAATATACGTTGTTTTACCATATCAATATTGTCACCTCATAAATATCATATTTTAAGTTATACTCATATTCCGAGTTGCCATTAACCTATTCTTTGTATAAAACATTTTTTCGCCTATAAAAAGTTTCCAAAATGGTAGGTACGAAGTATAATTTTTCCGTATTTAATTAAACTTTTGAGATCTGAAAAACTAAAAGGCGCCGTGAACACGATCGAAGAATATTTAGTTCGTACAACAAAACGCGCTACTCTCATCGGTATTCTTTATGGTCAATGTTTTTTGCTTTCATCTGACAATGGTCATCAACCATTCATTATACATCGGTAGTTGTAACGTTAAATAATTACATAATCACATTGAATTTAAAATAAATTAAGTGACGGGCACTCATTTGAATCACATTAATTCACAAAAGACTATTAATTCAACAATTTAATAGTTTCCTAATAAATTTYGTCACATTTCCTTTATAGGGTGTTGATAAGAGCCCATACAGAACTCACGCTGCAGTACGTTTAACTGTGTGACACGCAACTATCAACCCTACGAAAATGATTGGCCAAATTATGAATAAACTAATTATTACGGTATAGACTAAGACTAATCTGTCACAAGAAAATCAGTTGACGAGTCATAGTTCCGTCGAGAATATTATAATATTATCGTCAGCTAATTACACCTCTTGGATGTGGAGTGTATCCCAATGTATATCATAATATAATAACGTATGCTCGGTGTRTAATATGTAGCTGTTACAAGGCGATTGTGTAGGTACCGATATAATATGTATAGGTACGCAGTGCTACGTACATTATATTGTATATAGCGGACAAAATGAAAWTATCAACGCGGACGAACCAATCGCGAGAACGGGATCGATGCAGCGGTGAGACTATGATATTATATATTTACGTGATATCGTTATTTATTTCGGTATAATTTTGTTTTCTTTCTCCTGCCCGCCCACCACGTGTAGGTATTATAGTTACAATATCTAACCACCTACCCACATTATATAGGTATTACCGGCTCTTTTTCTTTTCGGCGCGATCGCTGTGTATAATATGCAATTACATATTATGTACGCCGCGGTTCTCCCGGTCCAGCGTTTTTCCCTCCTACACCACGACCCGTGGAGACCCAAGGCATCGCCGCTGACTACACGTAATATTATTATTATTATTATTATTATTATTATTATTATTATGTAGTTTTCGTCACGATTTTATTCGTATTTATTTTTTTTTTCGTCCGCTTTTCTCGTTTTACGACCGACAATGATTACACGCGGTCCGTACCTATGTACATATATATTTATAATATATTCGTACACAATATTATGATACACGCGGCGTGTGTTAAGAGTAATGTCTTCATGAAGGCCGTCGTCGTCGTCGAAGGGGGACGGGCCCGACACGCCGTCGCGTCGCCACGGACTACGGTGTAACGTACGCTGCACACATAATATCTATAATAAATATATGTGTGTATAATTTATTATATTRTAATACAACGGCGATGGACGCGCCCCCCTGCGCCGTGGTCCAACCACCTCCACCATTAAAGTTTTACACCGCGAGCGGGGTCGTCGGACGGGTTTAATATATTTTGTTTGCGATGTGCGGTAATCGGGTTTAAGAAAAAAATTCAGAAAATTAAAAAATAAAAAAGAATTAGGGAGGCGTAGGTGGTGYTTTTTCTCTCGAAGAGGTCACTTGCACTCTACTGACGTATATTGATACCTACATAATATTATATATAGGTCGTTATTGCAGCCGTTTGTTATTTGATCCCATTATACGCGTCGCCGATGAATCGGTCCAATTAAAGAGTGCGTACACGTTATAATAATATCATCGTATTATTATTATTATAAAGACGGATAAAAAGTTGGTTCGCGCGCGTGCAGTCGAATACATGTAGGAGGCAGGTATAGCTAGGTATATATACGCGCGCGATGATTTACAACTGGTCGGGCGATTTATCGCCGACGAGTGCATATGCGCCGCGCGACCGGGACGCATATATATATAATACAATACCGTTCGCTATATATAATAATATTATATTATACAACATAAWATTATTGTATCGTATATATTATTATACACTGCAGCAGTCACCTAGCTGTGCAGTGTACGCGTATAGGTATAATTTTTTTCCTCGTGAAATGTCAGCGCGGGCACGACGAAAAGAAAAAAAAACCGCGCACGCATATTATCTCCATCGGGCGTAATTTACAATAATACGCACGGGGTCAACATTTATATATTATTATATACATGAGTGCAGCGTGTTGTACAGGTATTTTTGTATATACGATTCTCCACTCCTACGTGGTGCCCTGATGATGAATAATGGAAGCACATAAGTCACTGTACTACTTAGGTATACGACGCGTACAATAAGACATATTATTATATTATAGCCGTATACGAGTGCAACATATTATAGTATTATATTTTATATATGTGGACGAATAACGGCGATACACTATATTATAATACAACAATATTATAATATACGATACGAGCACGTGTATACTAYATATATATATGTTGCACAGTAAGTTCCGCTTAACGTGATCACCAAATGATGGTGCAGGTCATTTTTTATTTAATTATTATTTAACGTTTTTATTATTATTATAATACACATCGTAGAAAATATTATATGAGAGTTTAAAGTAAAAAAAAACAATCGATGTGTTTTTTTTTTATTGATCAAAAGACATCGGCGACAACGGCCATTAGTCGTAAACGTTACATTGATTACATTTTTTTTTTAAATGTTTTATTATACATCGTACTTGCAAGACTTAAATATTTATGCATGAAATTATTTAAATGTAAAAAGTAATTACGAATTTCTAATTCAAGATGAAATTGTATAATTGTACTAATTGATTGAAACACCATATGATCGAAAATGTCTGTCTCTGTACCTATCACTGGACTTTCGAATATCTTCAAAATGTTAGTTTTAAAGAAGAACCATAATTTTAATTATAGTACCTATGTGGGCATGTGGCTACACACAAATCAATTTAAAAACGGTTGAAAGTCTGCATCGTATAATACAGTCCACAGATAACAGATAAGTGTATAAAAATATATAAATATAAACATTAGACGCATAACATAATCAGCTCAGATTTAAATGTATAACAATATATTCTAAATATAAAAATTTTATTTATATACCTATCGAAAACATTAAAGGATTTGCCTTAAGTTTTTATTTTTTGATTCCAATAAACAGCGTTCACATTGATCGAAACTCACTGTGCCCATATATATATATATATATACTACATAGATGTATAATGTGTGAATATGTGATGGTTCATGTTTCGGGGATACAAGTGGCAATGATATTGTGATGATTGTATAATTGCATTATATGTGTGAATGTGTGATAAGCATAAAGAAGAAAATATACGGGAAAAAATTTCACTCGTCATACCTACAACGTGCAAAACCGATTTTTAATCGAGGCCATCGAATTATTGTAATAATAATATGTATATAATATTAATGTAATATATTTTAGGATAATAATGATGATATACCTAACATTAAATATTTAAKTATATTATAATGTAATGCTATTGCAAGACCTCTCGTGTGCACAAGCCGCATCCTATACTCCGGAGAAAGAATTAATTAAAATCGATGAATGTATTACATGTAGAATTGTAGAATAGATATACATGTGGGTTGTTCGAAGGAGGTACAAACGTACAATAGGTASATATTGTATATTATGCTCGCGTTATATTGTATATGATCATTACGGGTATTAACGTGACACGTCTTAATTAACGCACCACTATAATACGGTCCATTGTTGTAAAACGATTGCGGATGAGATGTCGCATCGAGCAGAAGCGACTCTATATATACGATATACATAAGCAGCTACGACGTCGGCGGCTGCTGCGGGAGAGGAACAAAAGAGAATCGTGAAAAACGTACATAATACGCATGTGCATTATAATGCATAGTATTATTACATTGGAACTCGAGCAGACGCATGATATGTATAAGTATAAATAATGCGTGCATATATAGGTACCTACACCGGGTGCGGGTGGGTAACTGGGTGTTTTTGTGTGGGGGAGGGTTAAAGATTAATGGAGTCATACGACAGTACCTAGTGAATATTATGATAACATGGGAAACGAAATAATAAATTCCAAACGCACTCTACAATGGTGACTTTATTTTAAGGCACATAACAATATATTATAATACGCACCATGTCCGACTGAACTGCAGCTCCTATATAGGTTTCTACACTATATCGTGTGCGTGTGACGAACGCGAGCATTTCAATGTAAATGACTATAATTTCTTACTGTTCAACTAATGATGATAATGATGGTAACAATATAATATTATACGTACGACGCGATAATTTACATAATATTTCAACGGGTTTGCCAGCGCGCCTAAACTAATTTCTACCTGCCCATATAATACCTGCTATAATACCTATCTGTATAATATTCCGTGTAAAAATTCTCGTTTGTTTGTTTGTGTATTTGTCTGCCGCTCTCGCATAAGTATGAGCGTGTGTATATGTGTGTGTTTACTGTTTGTTTGAAACATTCAAATCAGCTCGACTATTGTCACGCGCGTATATAACGACCGTGTTTAAAAAGACGACATTATAATATACACACGG